TTTCACTAGGACAGAATATTTCTTGCCTGCTGGACCAATTTTTCATTTATTCATTTTTAGATTTCACTGAATTAAAAGCATTGATCTAGAAGTTTCCATTTCCAAAAGGTAGAATGAACACACTGTTTGGAAGCAGATATGATCACAGGCAGAACTAGGTCAAAACACAAAACCATCTGAGCTGACAAAAACCAATGACTGGCTCTTAAAGTCCTTTTCTCTAACCGTGGAGAACCTTGTAGGTAAATCACAGGTGTATCAGGCTCCTTTAAGGTAAAATATAAAGTAGAGCAGGGGCAGCTAAAGACTTAACATCAGCGTATTGAGTGAGGACGGAGTGTGTAATTAAAGACGAACAGATAAAGTCACACAAAGGCAGGAGCGAACGAGGCCTACAGTGAAAGTAAAGGGAGGAGAAACTTTGTTTTGGATAAGAATGAAAGGCGACGAGACGCAGAGAAGAGTTCTGTTATCAGACACTGATTTGTGCCGGTCTCATCGACACGGCCGTCTGGAACAAACAAGTGTTGTATCATCAAACACCAGACTGACAGACAGGAATAGACGGAGAAGGAGTCGACTTTTTAACTCCACACAATAGAAGATCAATCGATAAACGAATGACGCACGTACTCCAGACTCTCTCTTTTGGAGTGTTAGTGGAGAAGGACGCCATTCCTCTTTGACACCACCGGCCTAGATATTCAAAGGTGTCGGTGTCTGTGGTCACCCTTTAAAACGCATTCTCTGGAACATCACAACCAGTTAAAGAGCGAGAACTAAAAAAGTTGATTCATCCTAAAACAGCAGGTTTTTCTTGCTCTTTTATCTCTGCTCTCGTCTCTCTATTATACCACACTCTGATTCGGTGTTGTTTTTTTTCCCACTGGCATGGATTCAAAAATGTAAGAAGGCGAGCTCTGGGTTTTTGCCACTGAGATAACAGATGTAAAATTAAGGCTATGGTTAGTGTTTTTATTCGCTATACTGCACTTTGCCAAGTGCGACGGCTACATTACGCTGTAGTATATGGGTCTGGAGTAGACTTGGCTTGATGAATCTGCTGTCTTAGGGATATGATGATTCAGCCCGCGCTATTACCATGAGTGATTTCAGCTGCGGGCATCGCTAGCACTTTTTCTTTATGGTCAGAGAGACAGAAGAAGGCGCTGATGAGGAAACATAAGTTAACCCAGAACAGGGACGGGAATGACTTTCAACTCAAAAACATTTTTAATCAGGTTCCTTGGAAAATTACGACGCCAGCAATGGGGTTTTTATAAATGGACACCGCGGCGCTGCCGTAAATCACAACGAGAAGAAGAATGAGGGCGAGAGGGGGGTAAAAGCACACACGTGGGATACACAAATCCCTCCATTCACTACGGATTTTGTTCTGTGTGCAGCAGACAGGTTTCAAGCCAGGACGGAGCCAAGAACTGGTCCTCATTTTTTAACCCAGACACCTTAGTCATCAGTCCCTGGAACTGATTTACATGGAGGACGGACAGGAATCTACCCCGGCGGTTGTTAATGTTCTCTGGTCTGCAGTAAAACAGAAACGTGTTAGAAAACATCTCATTCTATAGGTTACTGTAAACACTGATGGAGTGGTTCATTTGTAGCACACTGACACAACAAGCTAAATAACTTCAGTATATACACCCAACACAAAGGGTCATTTGCAGTTAACCCGTTTACAAACAAGTGTTTATCAGTGTGTACCATACTGCACCCCAGTGGTGTGAGATTACTTTAGGTGCTCAATGAAAAAGTGAAGCCCTGCAATAGTTGGGATTCAGACCAGCAACCGATTACAAATCCTATTGCCACAGAACATTAATATAAATACCAGAAGAATCATTCAGAAGTAATTACCACACTACACACTACAAGTCTATGGTGTTGTGTTCTGTGTTTTCAGATAGTCTTTCCTTTTATTCTAAACAATGTCATTTTGGAAAAAAAAAAAAAAGACCCAGACATTCGTCTGATCCTGACCCTCCCCCTCAAAATTCAGCTCCATTCAAAATCTAAATGTGCTCAGCACTATATATTGTCAGGATATGGCGTCCGGCTACAACCCACTGACTAAGACATGACTCAGTCTAGGGATGCATTTTTATCCGTTGTCTTCCGCTGCTAGCCTAGCTAAAAATATGTACTGTATCTGTTTTTGTTTGTTTGTTTTGACCAACAGCAGTAATGTTGCATCCAGGCAATTCACTTATAAATGCCTTGGTGATGAGACACGAGGGCGCCACAGGATCTGTAGTTACAACACTAGCCCTCAAATACCTGCCTACTTTGACTTTCAGTCAAACAGCTAAGAGGCAAAATCTGATTCGCTGCTGGTTTGGGAAAAAGAATAGCCCATGATGATCTATTTAGTCTTTAATTTCGTCTCCAGATTGGAAAAAGACGGAGACTTTTCTCCAGCAGCTGCTGAAATCACTGCTCATCAATTCATAGACATAATTTAAGGGGAGATGAAAGAAAAGAGAGTGAAGCAAACTCCCAGGATAGAAAGCTGTATTTCTTCTCCACAGCAACGGCTAAGACTTGATTTTCCATTAACGGGGAGGGCAAACCTGTCATTTGGAGCCCCGACCCAGGACCCAGACATATCGACGGGCCCTGAACGGTCCAGGCCACGTCGGAGGCAGTGATCCCTGCTGATTTCAACATTTAAACAAACCCCTCTGATGCAGCGCGACCTGACAATCTGCAACCTATCAAGACACAATCAAACAGCACTTCCAGGGGTTCAGATTGAGACATCACCTGGAGTTGATCAAATAGGGACAGGAGCTGAGACGTGCACCGAGAAATCCCTGCATGCTTGAAGAGAACCGCAGTAGATTTATGTGGGGACACAGCGTTGCTCCTCCTAATGTATTCTGCCATAAAAAGACCAGTGTGGGTCACCAGGCAAGTGAGACGCATAGCAATGACTGTCTGTATGGACTCGCAGATAGGAGGAGAACCTTTATGCACTGCATTAACTTTTAATTATTACTGTGTGGGAGATGCAATTACCCATCTGCGACCAGACTCTCTAAAGCTGCACAAGCAGACCATGGCTGTCTGCACCCTCGTTTAACCTCCGCTGCTCTTTTCCTGTTTATATTTCTCATGTAGCTCCTGTTGTGTCTCATTGTTGATGATCGCTTCAAATCTTCTGGCTTATTTGTTCTGGCTTTTGTCTTTTTGTTTCTTTTGCATTGTTTTTTTTTTTTTGTACAGATTTCTCTCAACGCCTCCTTCACCGGAGCCACAGGTCTGATCCAGGTGGACGCAGGAGTCTCCAGGATCCTTTCCTCCCAGCTCTTCCATGTATGGAGTCTAAAGAGAGGAGCTCTGGGTCAGCCCGCGTGGGTCACTGTGGGCCAGTGGACGCGGGGCCGACTGGACCTGGAGGAGGGTATCCTAGGGTTAGTGGGAGGGTTCGGGAACAGCCAAGGACAGGGTCTGGGCGCAGGGGTGAGAGGACTGGACGGCCCGGGCGACGGCAGCGTTGGGGGGAGATGGAGGCCGGGCCTTTCCGTGGAGGGACACCGCCTGCGCGTGGTTACTCTGGTGGAACATCCGTTCGTTTTTACCAGGGAGGTGGATGAAGACGGAATGTGCCCAGCTGGTCAGCTCTGTCTGGACCCTAAGACCAACCGGTCTGAGATAATCAACGGTCTCTACAATCAGCTGCACAACCCCAACAGTACAGCTCCAGACCTGGAGGGTGTCGGTGAGCTTCCCTGTGGTGTTTACTCTACAGATACTGTAGTCGTTGTAGAACATTTGGCTGTAAAAGCAACGGCCGATGACGGCAATAAAAAATGGTATTTTCTCGAGGAAATCGAATCCTAAACCTTACTCACTTTGGCCAGGTGACATTTTATGAACTCTATAACAGTTGGTTTGGTTCACACGTGGAGCTACCTTCTTAAACTCCACAGGAAATGTGCCATTTGGAATGTGACACTCAGTTTGAATTAAACTGTCGCTCCTTTGTCTGTGTTTTCACAAACTTCTATTTCAGTGAGAGAGATTTAAACACCTGTTCAACGGAAAATCTATATTTCAGTGAGAGAGATTTAAACACCTAAGAGCCTGTTCAACGGAAAATCTGATCATTGATATGGAATTAGAATTAAAAAATCTAATTCCATACTAGGGACTATCTGTCTCAGTCATCTGAGTTAAGAATCACATATATCATACATTTAACAACCGTAACAACTGTGACTAATCGGTATGTAAAATAAATCCAAAATATGCAGCTTAGACCATTTCCTCAAAATATTGCACATTTTGCATTCATAGAATTTGAAGAAAAAAATCAATAAAATAAAGAATCTTAAATTAGCTAACAGGCAGGTAGCGCAAAGAAAATGGTCATTAAAATACATTTCTAAAAATAAGTCAGACATTGTCAACAACTGACTTGAAAATTAGTAAACGGACGATTTCCTTAATCCACATTTAATGAACAAGGGAAAAAATATATTTAGTAAACGCTGAAAACATTTATATTTGAATATTAAAAATATGTCAATCTCACCATTCATGTCTTTTAGAGCTGCCGGACGACCTGAGGAAATGCTGCTACGGCTACTGCATCGACCTGTTAGAAAAGCTGGCAGAAGACATGGGCTTCACCTTTGACCTCTACATCGTTGGAGATGGGAAGTACGGGGCCCTGAGCGGGACGGGCCGGTGGACCGGCCTGGTGGGTGACCTGCTGAGTGGAGCTGCAGACATGGCCGTCTCATCCTTCTCCATCAACTCAGCCAGGAGCAGAGTCATCGATTTCACCTCACCCTTCTACTCCACCAGTCTGGGCATCCTGGTAAACCTGCTCCTCTTCCTCACCTGAGGTCAATGAGTGAATGGAAGAATGGGAGAGAATTAGAGTCACATGGAAAAATATTTTTTTTAAATTCCTAAGATAAAGCTAAAATCTTGTCTTTACGTTTTAGAATATTTTTCGGAGAATAGAATAGAATATTTCGGAGATTACATTTTAAAACAGTGAAATGGTATTTTAATTATTTCTGACCAAGAAAGTTAAGACAAAGTCTGAGCTAATTATTCCATTGTTATTTCAATTCCTAGAATAAAAAAAAAATCAGAATTATGTTTTCCATCTTACAACCCTGGCCCAAATGAGCCTGATTTAAAAAATGTATTAAAGTGTCATAAAAAAAGCAAAACAAAAATTACATTTAAACATGTTTCCTTTAATTATGTCAAATAGTAAAGTTAAGAAATAATCAGAAAATAAACATTTTGATGGGTAACACTGAACACTGAAAGCGTGTCTTAAACACTTTGAGACACTCCCTAAATAAAAGCTGTGAAACAGTGACAGTTTTCCAGTCTGATGACAGACTCTCTCTCTCCCGCTCCGTTCACACAGTCTTTGACGCCCAACACCCGACCATTACTCTGGTCCAACACTTTGTTTCCTGTCTTTCTATTGTGGTATATGTTAATTTTGACAGTTGAAAATTAGAACCAGCGCGTGTGTATAATTGGTATGAGCATCGGGCCAATGTTGTGCTGAAATATGCCGCAGTTTTTCTGTGATTGTTTAACATTAATCTGTGTAACTGGCAAACAGTGCTGCATAATGGGATGTGAAAATATGGATTACATTTTAAAAAATGATGATTCCATCACTTCAAAAAGTAATTTAGTCAACACAGCAGCTGATAAATAGCAAAACAGAGAAACAATGTTTACAATCTTTTAAAAAGTAATTAAACCACGGAGAGCTGAACAGAGTGGAGCGAAAGTTCAGGTCTTGGCAATTAGGCTAGTTTTTTGTGGCCCATGAGTTTTTTTTTATTAATATTTTATCTAACTCTCAGCTCTTTCTCTGGAATGTTTAGGATTACTTTTCTGTAAGTAAACCAACTTCTCTTCTCTCTGACTTTCTTTTAGCCACCGGGGTTAGCGTTGCCACTGTTTTGTCTGACTATTATTCTAGTCATAACATTAGAAATGTATGGCTGTTCACAGTTTTGGAAAGTTTATACCAACATTTCTTCAACTAAGGCTGTTCACAGTTTTGGAAAGTTTATAACCAACATTTCTTATATTATTTTTGCATTCCATCTTGCAACTATTTGACATTTAACACATTTTCTGTTATATTTTTATGTTACATATTTAATGAGTTTAGCAGACGCTTTCATCCAAAGCGACTAACAAGAGGGAAGGTAAGGATATGTGGTTCCTCTGGGAATCCAACCCAGACAACACTAGAGCACCAGTGTTACTTTTAAGCAGTTTTTTTTTCAACTTTTCCTCAAAGTGGTTGCTATCCAACCCAGACAACACTAGAGCACCAGACTTTCCTCAAAGTGGTTGCCTTTTCAACTTTTCCTCAAAGTGGTTGCTACTTTTACTATGTATTTTCTGCTATTTTTTTTTGATTTCACAAACGTAACAATACCAAAGTAAATAGGGATTGACTGACTTACTTATGGGCCATATCAGGACTACCAAACTAGTAAAGTAAAGTAAGTAAAACTGTTGTTTTTCTTGTTGATATTGTACAGCCTTGGGACACTTGTGAAAGGTACAAAAAAAGAATTTAGTGTAGAGAAGAAGAATTGTTGATCTTTACAAGGTTCGTAGGATCCGAACTTCAGGGAGCGATCTTACTGTGGCACGGTACAATGGCCGCGGTGTGAGTTCACTCCTGGATGCTGCTTTTTAAATTTCTGATATAACTTCTCTTTAATTAAAGTCATTAGGTATCAGACTACTAAGTGCATTTCCTTACTTCCTAGGAGCTCATTGTTTTAACCTACATCTTCTTGTGTTCATCCAGGTTCGTAGCAAAGACACCGCAGCTCCCATCGGAGCCTTCATGTGGCCCCTCCACTGGTCCATGTGGGTGGGCATCTTCGTCACGCTGCACCTCACTGCGCTCTTCCTCACCTTGTACGAGTGGAACAGCCCATTTGGCATGACGCCCCATGGCAGGAACAGGCTGAGGGTCTTTTCCTACTCCTCTGCACTCAACCTTTGCTACGCCATTCTCTTTGGACGCACTGTTGCCACCAAGGTAGAGCAAGTCTCCTGATTGTGACGAATGGGCTTCATATGGAGGTGATGATGATGACAGAAAATAAAAAAAAAGGTGGAGATGATTATTGGAAAGAGTACGAAACTGTAGAAGAAAGGGGAGAAGGAGTTGGAGGAAGATGGTGAGGCCAGGCAGGAGGGAGGAGAAGATGGATAGGAGAGAGGTTAAAGAGGGAGGCAGTGATGAAGCGGTGAGGAGCAGGGAGGATAATGCCCATACAGGGAAGAAGAGGCGAAAGGCTAAGTGGGTTGACAGAGATTGAAGGAGTTATGGTGAGGATGAGAGGGAGGGATGAGGGCGGGGAGGGAAAAGAAGCAAGTAGAGGTCAGCTCCCCCAAGCAGTCAAAGAAGAGAGTGAAAACAAGATGGAGGCAGGAGGACGAGGGCCAGCCTGGGTGGAGAGGTGAAAGCGCAAATCAAGCAACAGGCTTGAAAAAAAAAGGTAATGGAGAGGTTGACAGAAAGGTGGGGAGATGGGGTTGAAAGGGTAAGTGGGTAAGCAGAGATGAGAGAAACCAGAGTGAAGGTAGGTGGGCCCACAGGATATGAGTGGGAAAATGTTGGGGTGAGATTAAAACATAATGGCTGAAGGAATGAGGAAACTTAAGGCCTAAAAAGTCCGATTTGAGGTCTTTTAAGAAGTTTAGCAACAAACCCCAGAATGATGTAGGACAAGCCACATCCTGGAAGGTTCTTGCGATATTGGGTTAAAAACCAGCACCCACCAAAGTCTCAGTCTTTACAAAGTGATTGGAGTTTGTGCCGAACTTCATGGGTTTTTTTTATCTTTCATCGATCCATCAAAGTTCAAGATACTAAAAACGTCACGCCTTTCAGCAGAAATCTGTGCAAAAAGACGGAAACTGCTGCTGAATGTGCCTGGAATTTTAGCCAAAAACTGTAACTTTCAAAATCAGTAACACTTTGTACCCCAAACAATTTAAAAAGTGGTTTCAAGAGATAAGAGGTCAGAGTGAAACAACTGACAGTCTTTGTCAGTTCAGCCTCATTACCAAATTTCAGTTTTTATTGCAGGTTATGAAAAAATGTGAACCAACTATTTTTTTTTTTTGTATCACCGTAAAAAGTAGTTTTTATAATGTAGTTGCCACTGATCACTTCACCGTCTACAGCACAGCTCCATTAACTGCTGTCTTTCTATTTAAAACAGAAACAGACTGTCTGTCATTATGCTGTCCCCGGCGCAGTCCCGTTGGGAGTCTGTCTCTTCATAATACTCTCCAAACGCATATTCGTGGTTAGTCCCTGGACAGAGAAAATGACCTCAGTAGAACAGAGGCCAAGTGATTAGACAGATTCATAATAATTGAAAGGTCAGAGGTCAGGGTATTTAACAGATTCTGTTCATTAATGGCACGATGATCTGTTGGAATTCTGAAGCCTCTCTTCTAATCAGGTCTGTTATTGGGATTCAGAGATGATAGAGAAAGTTATTGTTGAGGTCAGTTTGACCTGATTTAGGTCCAATTAAATGAACAGGACGCATGAAAGAACATCAGTAGATGGATTCAAAAATTGTTTGGTTTTACAAAAACAAATGTCTTGATATCTTCGAAAAATGTTATAGTGGCATAAAGTGCTCAGTTCAGAAAAAAAAAACCCAATCCTGGACAGACTACAGGTCAGACTGGACAAAGCTTCCACTATATAAAGGACTTCTTTGAACTTGTTTAAATCAAAAACTTTCAAAGGTCAAACATGTCAGTGCAGCGTCCACTGCTGAGTTGATGGAAGATGTGCTTAGAGAGATGGGGAACTGCTGACTGCAGAAGTCTGAGAAAGGAACAACTCGGAGAAAGTAGAAAGTTTGGGTCAGAGGTCGTAGAGAACACATTTGGTTTTTAGAAAAGACTGGTTGTGATTAACTGTCAAAGCCACAGTGAAGCGACAGCGGCTGATTATGAATGACACTTTGTTAAAGTAAGTTGGCAACCGGTCACAGAGAGTGACTTTATGATGAAGCCGACTTAATGAGTTCCAGTTGACAAAAGTAGAATAAAACAAGATGGCAGATGCGGATCTGTCAAAATTATAACCAACTGAGCTTGAGCCTCGCAGCTCATATGAGACAGTTGTTTTTATGTTTGTACATTATATATAACTTAGTTAAAATATCAAACCAAGTTGTTTTTATGTTTTTACATTATATATATTTGTTTGTTAAAATATCAAACCAAAAATGCCTTTAAATACTCTTGATGTAACGACTAGCTTTTGGATCCACTAAGTGAAGAAGTGTAGAAATGGAAGAAATCCTTATGTAATATAGTATTTAGACAAATGTTTTGTTGTTTGAGTTGCTAAAGTCAGAAAGCAAGATGGCCGCTATATTAAAAGTGACATTTTAACCCTTCCATTTGGGGGTCATGACAGCAGTGTTTCTGAGCCCTTGGTTTTTTATTGGTAAACTATTATAAAAACATTATTCTATGTTATAAGAAAAATCTGATCCCCCCTAAACCACCACAGGTCCATGTACCACTAGTGGTATGCATACCACAGTTTGAGGACCTCTGATTTAACTGTAGGCCGTTTCACCTCCTTGTTCTCGGAGTTTCTCCCACCCTACAAGTGGTAATTAAACTCAGCACAAATGAAATGCTCATGTTCCAAAAGGGTGACAGAGCCAGACGTAGCTATTTACGCCCCGTCGTCGTTTTTATTTTCAACCATAACACACGCAAATCCTGTCGATAGAAGAGAAATGACTGAAGAAATGGGTAAAATGCCAAGCTCCAAATACACCTGCTCACCTCTAATAAAATATAATTACTTTTTATCACCCATACCACTGCATTCACTGCTGCCTTTATCCTCGCATGTGCCTGCACTCATTTCAAAACATTACGGTAATTAGACCATGCCTTAGACTTTGGACAC